GATGAAAGCACCCTGGAATTCTGAGGCTGGAGCACAAACAGCTGCCCTGAAGAACAGTCAGGACCCTGGCAGACCTTGGTGAGTGCTAGGATCTGGAGGTTGTCTTAACTGCAGCATAACCTCATCTACCTTGACCAGTACCCTGTGGTTCACCTTCTTTGGGCCTCTTATGTGTCTATTGGGGGGCAATGATTAGCCTTAAGACCCACGTGTGGTCTTCTATGAAATCTTCAGGATAAAAACACCACATGATTTTCCAGTAATACATAAAAACATAAATATTTCTTGGCCTCAAGGATCTCAGACATAGGTGTCCCTTTGTAATATTTTGTCTTACTTATTTCAGTAAAGATAATCTATGTGATAAAGGTAAATCTTCTCAACCAATCCTGGGTTCCCTCTTTTAGGATGTCACTCAGCAAATAGAGGCATCAGAGGTTTTGTCAATACCTGTACCTCTTATCATGAAAAATCCAAAAATTCATATGCTCATGACATACGGGTACACACGGCAGCTACAGGGACTCAAACTTAGTATGGATTTAGCAGGGAGTAAGATATACAGAATCCGTCTACATCTTACAAGTTTTAGTGAAGCCTCTTGCTAGCAGAACAAGAATTCCACGGCGCTAAGTATTACTTTGGCCAAATCAGGGTTTGTAAAGCTCTGCACTGTTGACATTTTGGGCAGGACAGCTCTTTATTGTGAGGGGCTCTCTTGTTCACTGTGGAATGTTGAGCAGTATCGCTGGCCTCTATCCAGATCCCAGGCCAACAGCACACCACACCCCTGTTACGACAACGAAGAACATCTCTAGACATTGCCGATGTCCACAGAGAGGCGAAATTACCCCTGGTTGAGAACTAATGGCCTAAAATGAATGTATATTTTTGTGATAGATGTTGCTCAATGATAACAATTTAAAAATCGTGTTGGGTTTGTGTAAAAAATTATCAAGATCAATATTTAAGAATAAACACAGTAGATATTTTAATGAAAGCAATGGTCCTGCCATTCTTTATTTCTCACAATAACACATATTTACAGAAAAAAAAGAATCATACATTTTAAATTCTGATCATTATACAGATTTTTTGTGGTTGAATAATAAAAGGAAATTTTTTAGTGACTTTTTAAAATACTTTCAATGTTCGAAGATACAAATTATATGATAAACATTCAATAACTGGAGTAAACTCGTTTCAAAATGAAAGACAATTAGCACCCAGTAAAAGTAATGAAATGCAACCTCACTGGGGACAGGATCTCTTAGGAGATCTGACCCAGAACCTTATCTTTACCATAGATTCACAATCAATCCAATTTTTCAACCTACATTTTAGAAACTTGGGTGCAAAATTATGTGAAAGGGAAATCTCCATAGGTTTTTGTAGGGTTAGAAGAATTTAGCTTTAGAATAACAACATGTGAATCAGTTTTTCCCTCATAAGGCCTTGAAAAAGTTATATCCTAAGGTGCTATAGAGTGAAACTTTTTTGATAGTCAATAGTTTCAAATGGATTTTCATTTTTTAAAACAATGAATTATAAATTCTTCTTTATAAAAGGCTAAAGGCACAGTGAAACAATGAATATTTGTACTTCACCATTTTACAACTCAAAATAATTCAGAACACAAAATAATTCAGGTGGCCAGCACCTAATCTGTCCTGTAGGTGGCAAAATTATCCTAAGAGGAATCCAAGGACAAGATTCAGAATTGCTGTACTGAGGTTAATAGCGGCAGATGACTTAAAGCTTCATTTAAAAGTTCTAAAATTTTTTCAAGTTTTACAGATTTAAGGATGCCTTTTCTCTTGCTCTGCATTAACATGGATTTTTCTGGATAGTCAGTACTAATGCTCAGAAATAATGTTCTTTTGCTTTTCAGGGGCTAGATTTTCAGTCTGATGATTGTTTCTGAAAAATTCCTCTCCTTTTGCTTTTTTGTCCAACAGGTTTTGCTTTATTGTGTGATTCACCTAACTTGAAGGAAGACAGGTTGGGAAACTAAAAATCAGTTGTTACTGGTCAGCAGCTATGAAAAGCAAGCTTGAAACCAGTATCTAAAAGGGGGGATATGAAGCCCCCTAGATTTCAGCCAGCTTTACGTTTTCTCAATTATCTTGTACTGGATGGAAGAACAGTAGCAAGACTTTTAAGAAGTCATGGATAATTTTTTACAGAAAAATTGGGGCACCATGATGATGACTATACTTACGTGTAAGGAACAAAGAAGTTTGTAAATGATTACAATTACACAGTTAACTCTAGTCAAATAACATTTTATCCTCAGGAGTTGATGTCACTTGTCTTCATAGCTTCTTTGCTTCCTTTCAAGATAGAGATACTAATCTATGTTCTGGATTCATCATTAAAGAGTCAGACATGAAAAACAGCCAGGGCCATCAAATAAAGACTAGTAGCAAGCACTAAATATACAGTTACTTGAAGAGCTGAGACTAAGTGGAGGATAAAAAGTAGAAAGTATAGTATGTTATAGCAGTATGTTCTGAAAATGCTGACATAGTACAACTATTTCAAAAATAGGGGAGAAAGGGAAGAGCAAATGAGAACATTTTTAAATGTTCCAATTATCATATTGGTTGTGGTTGTGTATGTATTCTTATTCTGAGACAGTGGCATGTGTAAGGTAAATAAAGGAAATGAGTAATTATGGGATATTCTAATTCTACCATACCCTATGCTCTTGAAAACCAAGATTCTCAATATAGAAGAATATAGATATAGTTGTAACAGAAAGGTTAGGTAAAAACCATGTAATAACAAATTTTTATTTAGAAGTATCAAGAAACTTACGATGTGTTTTATCTTTAAAAACATATAGATATTTCCTAGCTCTCTCCTAGAAACAATGACCAACCCAGTACTCAGACTATGTTTTCAAAAAACCATTTTTCACTGAAAGAAACCAGGCTTCTTAGGGAAATGGCCAATTCCAGGTCCAGGGCAGGAAACACGCAGGTTGAGCCTGTGATATTTTGTCATAGAAGATAGCAGCAAGCTATTAAAAACTTCTGAAGTGGTGTCAAAAAGACTCAGAACAAACTTCATGAGACTTTCAATGACCAATGATATGACAATTTGAACTTCAATAAAATAATATTTGTAATAGATTGAAGCTCATCAAATATGTTTGTACCCACAAGTTCATAATACCTGTATCCTAAAATACCTGGAAGATGATAGGAAACAAGTTTATTATCTTGAAAATTAGTAAATAAAGGGGAAAAATTCAAATATTTATTTTCTGTCTCCTATATGAACTCTACCACTGGTTAACCATGTTGCAGATGTGGGGAAGTATCTCTTTATAAAAATGTTCCAACTAATAAATTAAATTAAAAAGAAATGATAAGACCGGGCGTGGTGGCTCACGCCT